TTTCCAATGTGTAACCCTCTCTTTCTGCACAGGGTTCCGATGTCCTTCTTAAGGAGACAGTGACAGGCCATCACTCCGCTCTTCCCAAGTTGTTGTGGACTCACAGGCCTGTGTGCTCTCAGCTCCCCACGGTTTCCAGGGAGAACCCCTAGTGTGCCAGCCCTTCTCGAGGTCACCACCTCTTTGCCAGGGTCGAGCTGCAGACTCCTCCGCCCCTGGGACAGCTCGCTACAATCCCCAGGGGAACCCTGTTACTGCAAAAGTCCTTCTCTCTGGTCACACACTCCCAGGGGTTAACCGCCCCTGAAACCGTCTCTCTCTGAATCTTCAGCACGCCTGGTCCCCGTCAATCCCCCTTCGTTTTACTGCTCCCCAGTCACTTACTGCAGGAAGCGCCATCCACGGGGTGCAGTACATCCCACCGCTCCCACCAGTTGTCACGGAGTTCCCAGACGATGCTCTGGAACTGCTCCCTACTAAGCCAGGCAGGACTCTGGGGAAGTCTCCTTTCGGTGAGCAGACTGTCTGCAGGACACACAGCTCACACAGCTTCCACCTTCCTGGGTCTGATCTCAGAGCATTCAGCATCCTCTCTGCCCCTCCTTGCGCTTCCCACAGCCAGTCTGCAAGGCGGGGTCCTGGGGAAGCAGAGGGTCCTGCCCCCCAACTCCGCAGTCAGACGTGACTCTCAGCCAGCCACTAAAACAGAAGGTTTATTAGATTGTTGCCGGCACCCAGTGCCGAGAGGCTGAACAACAGCTTGAGTGGTTCGTTACTCGGTGTGCTACACCCAATAATCACAACGGGGTGGAGAAGCAGAAAAGTTCATTTGACGCTTCAAATAGGTACAGGGAGATTTGAATCTCAGATCCTGTACACAGAGCAGGAAGTTACACAGGCTTTTATACATCCTTTTTCCCAGCATACTTATCCAATAGCAAGCTGCCCCAAGTATCCATATAGCTAGCCAATCCAGTTCCCAGCTAGTTCCCTGGTTCTCTGTATCATTTATTAAACTATACATAAAGCTGCTTTATTCAGCATTGTTCTTCCATATCTGCCCTGTGTGGCCTTGCTTAGTTTCAGGCAGTCTGACTCTGCAACATATTGTTGCAGATTCTCAGCATAACTGCTGTGTGTGCCTCCAGGCCGGGGGGGGGCAAGGACACTTGGGCCTAGTACGCAGAGCTGCTGCGAGTGCCTCCAGGCGAGAGGGGGGGCCAAGGACACCTGGGCCTAGTGTGAGGGGGCTTCATCGACACTCGTGGTCTTCCATCCCCTCGAGTTACCTAGTGGCCATGCCCCAGTGTCCCCAACAAGATGACAGGAACATGGTCTAAAACAGAGCTTGCAGGTGCAGAGAACAGGACCCCTCCGCTGGGTCCATTTTGGAGGACAGTGAGCCAGACAACCACGTCTGTACTTCACTCCATGTCCATGTCTCCAGTCAGCCCCAAACTGAAACAATCTCCAGCCCCTCCTCCTCTCGGCTTTGTCCCTTTCCGGGGCCAGGAGGTCACCTGATTCCTTTGTTCTCCAACCCTTTAGCTCTCACCTTGCAGGGGGGAAGGGCCCAGGCTATCGGTGGCCAGGAAACAGGGTGTCGGCCATTCTCTGTGTCCAGACCCCTGGACATACCTGCCCTCTAGGGCTCTGCAAGGATCATACACCCTTACCCCACCACCTAGATACTTAAGAACTGTATAGGGGAAACTAAGGCACCCCTCACACTATTCAGAGGAAACATTAAGAACAGTCCCACTTCGTCACACCACTACCTGGGCCATGGGTTACAGAGAGCAGCCCTGAATCTGGCACCATTTCCCCTTTAAATTCCCTGCAGTCCCATGGTCCCCTATTGCCTGCCATGTGGTGCCACCAATCTCACCTCCTTGGCTGCCAGGGTCAGGCTGTGCCCAGGCTTCACAGCCAGAGGAAAGACACGAGACAGAGGCAGTGCCAGGGCTGCAATCCCTCCCCATCCTCCAGGCCGGTGTGAAGGAGCTGCCCAGAGGTTACATACACTGCCTGGCAGGCAGGGTTCATAAATGGGGCACATGGGGGGCAGTGTCAGGCTGCAATTCATGGCCAGAGATTTTAGAGGGGAACCCCCCAGCTCACCTGCCCCTTCCCCAGTACCATCCAGAGGCCAGGGGGCTGTCGGCTTGCTCGCTGCAGGGTGGCAGCAGGAACTTGCTGAAAGCCCAAGGCCTGACACTCCTGGGACAAAGCCAGAACCGAATTCCTCCCGAGTACGCTAGGCCCCAGTGTGCTGCTCGTGCACAAGCCGGGCTGCTCAGCGCAAGGCCAAGCGCTGCATGCCGGAGCCTGTGGCCTCTGCCAGCTGCATCATGGGAATGGGAGGTAGCCCTGAGCCACGCCATCAACCCCTGGGTACCTTTGGGGTCCCCGGAGGCTGCCAGGCCAGAAAACTCCTGCAGCCCATAGCCGGGCAGGGTGGGTGCAGCTCCTGGCCTGTGTGAGAACAGGGTGTGTTGCCTTGGGAGGTTCAGGTGGCAGCCCAGCCAGCGGGAGCCCACGGCACAGGGGCTGCCAGCCCCATGTTAAAGGCCCCAGCAGATCGTGTGGCTTTTCCATAATCCAGCCCCGGTCTCTAGGCTCCTTAATGCAACTTTTATTAATATGCTCAAAGAAAGAGGTGTTCTTGGCATGAATTCCCGTGGCCCGTGGTGTGAGAGCGGGTGACTCCCCCTGCACTGGCCTGGCTGCTGCATCACAAAGGGCCCTGTTCCGGGCACAGGAACATGAAAGAGCCGATGGCGTGTTCAGGGGGAGGCAAAATCTGAAAGGAGCCTGAGTCCTATGGGCCCTGCAACATCACCCCATTGCAGGCTGCCAGGCAACCAGGCTCAGCCCGCCCCTTGGAAGCCGTGAATTCAGGAGAGGGGGCTTGGGGGTAACTCTCGGTCAGAGGCCTGGGAAGGGAAGAAGGCAGATTAAGCGCTAACCCTTTCTTTGCCAGGCTGAGGCCTGGGAATACAGCTGAACAGAGCCTGGCCTGGGAGGGTCTGAGCCGCCCACTGACGGGGTGCTTGGCACCTCACGCGACTGGGTTTCTTGCTTGAGCCAAACCCACGCGGAGGGTATTGGGGCAGGTTGGCTGAGACCAGGAAGAGCCGGTCTTGGTCCCAGAGGCCATGGAGCCATTCCCGGCTGCGCACAGAGAGCAGGGCCAGCTGCCCCCAAGGCTGAGGACGGGAGAGATTCACCCACCCATGTGGAATCCTGGTCCCAGCCAAGTGGCTGGGCTCAGCACAGGCTGGTCTACAGTCTCACAGCTGGAGGGGGCCTCTGGAAACCCCTGTGTTCCCCAGGGCTCCCATCAAAGGCCAGCAATGGGATGCACACAGCTCCCAGAAGACGCTCTTCAGGCATCAGCCAGGCAGGGTCTGCTCCCTCTCCCCTCACCCAGCAGCCCTCGTAGCCCCTTGCAGAGCCCCCAGAGCCCCCCGAGGGGCAGGACGAGCTCATTGTTCCAGTGGCACAACCCGAGCTCCTGCGAGAACAGACCCGTCAGCACCAGGGCAGAGCCCAGCAGTGTGGTGCGGTGCCAGGCTGCCACAGAGCAGTGGCTTGGGGGTCTGAGCCCCAGGGCTGACAGCCCCTTTCACCCCCTGGCACGGTTGTCCCAACCCTTCAGACCCATCAGATACATCCAGCATCGTGCCGGTTCCTCTGTGAGCCTTGCTTTGCTGGTACCGAGAACTCAAGGGGCTTTTCCTGATGCCCTTGGCCAAACCTCTCCCTCCCCACACACATTGTGCTGGGTGGTGGCTCCCACCTTCACCCCAGAGGTGGCTGCATCCTTGGTGCCGGAGGGACGGCGGCTCAGCTGAGAGCAATGTGAGAGTTGAATGAGTTCAGCTAGCTGGGGATGGGGGGCTGCAGATGCTCACAGAGGCGTCATGGCTGTCGTTACAGATTCGGGCTCCAGAGGGAGGCCCAGCTTGCCCTGCCTGACAGCCCTGGGTCTGGGCGAGGGCTGCCACCTCTGGGGCACCAAACACCAGGGCATGTGGCATGATCCCAGGGCCCGGGCACCTTTCAGCTAGCTCAGAAAAGGGACATTCCTAGGGAAACCTGACCAAGCTGCAGCCCTGGACTGGGTTTGTCTCCTCCCCACCCCCCCAGCATGCTCTGGGCCTGCACTGGGAGCAGGTGTCTTTCCACCCCCACCCCAAGTGAAGACAGGCCCCATCTGCCCTCCTTGTGGGGTTAAAGCCCAGCATCCCACCCGGTCTTTGGGAACACCTAGTGCAAATAAATGCCCCCCCCCGCATCCCCTCTCCGCCCATGGCTGCCTCATGCCTCAGAAGGGTCCCTGGACTCCCCTCCCCACCCTGCCATCTGGGGTGAGATCAACTGGGGACTCCCTAGACAGAGGAGAGAGGGGGAACAAAGGGGGGGGGGAAGGGGAGGAGAGAGAGATGGGGAATGGGCGTGGGGAGAGGAGATGGGGGAGGGGATGTGAGCAGGGTAGAAGGGTTGGGGGAGGGGGCAGGGGGCTCGTGGGGCAGTATATGGGGAGGGGGAAGGGCAGAGAGGGAGTTGCAGTGGGGAGGGGGTCTGGGGGTAGATGAGGAGGGTGAGGGAGTAGCGGGGGGACAGAGGGAAGGGGCGGTCGGGGGGGAAGAGGGGGCAGGAGGGGGGCGGGGGGGAGGGAAGGGGCAGGGAAGGGGCGGTCGCGGGTCAGGAGGGCGGCGAAGGGGCAGGGAAGGGGCGGTCGGGGGGGAAGAGGCGGCAGGAGGGGGGTGGGGGGGAGGGAAGGGGCAGGGAAGGGGCGGTCGCGGGGCAGGAGGGCGGCGAAGGGGCAGGGAAGGGGCGGTCGGGGGAGAAGAGAGGGCCAGGAGGGGGCAGGGGGCAGGGAAGGGGCAGGGAAGGGGCGGTCGCGGGGCAGGAGGGCGGCGAAGGGGCAGGGAAGGGGCGGTCCCGGGGGGTTGATAAGGCGGCGGAGAGGCGCTGTCTGGCCCCGCGGTGCTGAAGGCGGCCGGGCCATGCGGGCCGTGGCGCTGCGGCTCCTGTGTCTGCTGGCGGCGGCTCGGGGGGCCGAGAGCCCCGGGCAGCCCGGCCCCGCCTGCGCCCCCGCCGGCTCCCCGGGCTCGGGCGGGCGGCAGCCGCTGGGCGCCACGTGGGCGCCCGGCCGGGGGCGGCCGGAGCCGGCGGGAGGCGCCGCCCGCAGACGGGCCAAGCGGGGCTTCACTTACCCGGGCACCCTCTGGTGCGGGGCCGGCAGCAACGCCGACAGCTTCGAGCAGCTGGGTGAGGGCCGGGACCCCCCCTCTCCCCGCACTGCCCGGGGCCCTGGGGCCGGGACCCCCCCTCTCCCCGCACTGCCCGGGGCCCTGGGGCCGGGACCCCCCCCTCCCCGCACTGCCCGGGGCCCTGGAGCCGGGACCCCCCCTCTCCCCGCACTGCCCGGGGCCCTGGGGCCGGGACCCCCCCTCCCCGCACTGCCCGGGGCCCTGGGGCCGGGACCCCCCCTCCCCGCACTGCCCGGGGCCCTGGAGCCGGGACCCCCTCTCCCCGCACTGCCCGGGGCCCTGGGGCCGGGACCCCCCTCTCCCCCACTGCCCGGGGCCCTGGCCGGGACCCCCCTCCCCCACTGCCCGGGCCCTGCCGACCCCCTCTCCCCCACTCCCGGGGCCCTGGGGCGGACCCCCTCTCCCCCACTGCCCGGGCCCTGGGCCGGGACCCCCCCCTGCCCGGGGCCCTGGGGCCGGGACCCCCCCCACTGCCCGGGGCCCTGGGGCCGGGACCCCCCCCCCCCGCACTGCCCGGGGCCCTGGGGCCGGGACCCCCGCCCCCCGCACTGCCCGGGGCCCTGGAGCCGGGACCCCCGCCCCCCCGCACTGCCCGGGGCCCTGGGGCCGGGACCCCCGCCCCCCTCACTGCCCGGGGCCCTGGAGCCGGGACCCCCCCCCCCTCACTGCCCGGGGCGCTGGAGCCGGCTCGGGACCCCCCCTGCACTGCCCGGGGCCCTGGAGCCGGGTCGGGACCCCCCCTGCACTGCCCGGGGCCCTGGAGCCGGGTCGGGACCCCCCCTGCACTGCCCGGGGCGCTGGAGCCGGGACCCCCCCCCGTGCACTGCCCGGGGCGCTGGAGCCGGGACCCCCCCTGCACTGCCCGGGGCGCTGGAGCCGGGACCCCCCCCTGCACTGCCCGGGGAGCTGGGGCCGCGTCGGGCCCCCCCCCCCCACAGCAGATCTATGCGAGGAGCGGCAAACCGCAGCCCCCTACCCCGCCCAGTCCGAGTGTGGACGGGGGCGGGAGACGTGGGGCGGGGGGGTCGGAGTGCTCAGTGACTGATCACTCAACGCACCCCGCGGGGGGGGGGGGTGAAACCCTGTGTGTGAGTGTGAGGGGGCAAGTGGGGGCGTTTGCAGAGGTTGGTGTGTGTGGGGGGGGTGTTTGGGTGTGAGCGGGGGGGTCGTTGGGGTGTGTGTGGAGGAGGTGGTGGGGTGTGTATGGGGGGGTGGGGTCATTGCGGTGTGCAGGGGGGGGTTATGAGTGTCTGTTGGGGGTTGTTGGATGGGTTGGGGGTGCACGTGGGGGTTGTTGGGGATGCATGCAGGAGGGGGTGGGGTCTTTGGGGGTGTCCATGGGAGGTGTGGGGGGTTGGGTGTGTGGGGGTTGTGTGGGGGGGTAGTTGGGGGTGTGCATGTGGGTTTTTGGGGTGGGGCCTTTGGGAGTGTGTGGGGAGGTTTTGGGGGTGTCCGTGGGAGGTGTGTGGGGTTTTGGGGGCATGTGGGAGGCAGATGGGGTTTTGGGGGTGTCTGTGGCAGGTGTGGGGGTTTTGGGGGCATGTGTGGGGAGCTTGGGGGGCATGTGGGAGGCGGACAGGGTTTTGGGGGGTGTCCGTGGGAGGTGGGGGGGTTTTGGGGGGCATGTGGGAGGCGGATGGGGTTTTGGGGGTGTCCATGGGAGGTGTGGGGGGTTGGGGGGCATGTGAGGGAGGGGTTTTGGGGGTGTCCGTGGGAGGTGGGGGGTTTGGAGGGCTGTGGGAGGTGGATGGGGTTTTGGGGCATGTCTGGGGGGTTTGAGGGGCATGTGGGAGGCAGATGGGGTTTTGGGGGTGTCCGTGGGAGGTGGGGGGGGTTGGGGGACATGTGGGAGGCGGACGGGGTTTTGGGGGTGTCCGTGGGAGGTGGGGGGGGTTTGGAGGGACATGTGGGAGGCGGACGGGGTTTTGGGGGTGTCCGTGGGAGGTGGGGGGGTTTGGAGGGCATGTGGGAGGCGGACGGGGTTTTGGGGGTGTCCGTGGGAGGTGGGGGGGTTTGGGGGGGCATGTGGGAGGCGGACGGGGTTTTGGGGGTGTCCGTGGGAGGTGGGGGGGTTGGGGGACATGTGGGAGGCGGACGGGGTTTTGGGGGTGTCCGTGGGAGGTGGGGGGGTTGGGGGACATGTGGGAGGTGGATGGGGTTTTGGGGCATGTCTGGGGGGGTTTGAGGGGGCATGTGGGAGGCGGATGGGTTTTGGGGGTGTCCGTGGGAGGTGGGGGGGTTTGGAGGGCATGTGGGAGGCGGACGGGGTTTTGGGGGTGTCCGTGGGAGGTGGGGGGGTTTGGGGGACATGTGGGAGGCGGATGGGGTTTTGGGGGTGTCCGTGGGAGGTGGGGGTTTGGGGGGCATGTGGGAGGTGGACGGGGTTTTGGGGGTGTCCGTGGGAGGTGGGGGGGTTTGGGGGGCACGTGGGAGGCGGACGGGGTTTTGGGGATGTCCGTGGGAGGTGGGGGGGTTGGGGGACATGTGGGAGGTGGACGGGGTTTTGGGGGTGTCGGGGGACATGTGGGAGGTGGACGGGGTTTTGGGGGTGTCCGTGGGAGGCGGATGGGTTTGGGGGGCATGTGGGAGGCAGACGGGGTTTTGGGGGTGGCGTGGGGTTGGGGCCGTGGGGGGCTTTGGGGGTGTGCACAGGCTGGGTGCAGGGTGGTTGAGGGGAGCGAGGAGGAGCGGGAGGGCAGGGCTGTCAGCGAGTCTGGAAGGCAGCCTTGGCAGACTAGCAGCAGCCGGGAGGCAGGGCCCCACATGTGCCGAGAGCCCCGGAGCCTGGTGCCTCAGGCCTGCCGGCCGCAGAGCTGGCAGCCCTCGGGCGTTCACGCTGGGGCCCGCTCCGGCGTGCTGCTCTTGTGCGGCGCGGGGGGCTGAGGTGTTCTCTCCCTCGTCCCCCCAGGAGAACACCGGGAGACCGACAAGTGCTGCCGGGAGCACGACCACTGTCAGCACGTCATCCACCCCTTCACGTACCAGTACGGCTACCGGAACCTCCGCTGGCATACCATCAGCCACTGCACCTGCGACCTGCGGTGCGGGGCCCGGCCCGCTGCCGGGGCTGCACGGGGGAGCCAGCCATGGCCGATGGCCATGGGATGCCGTCGGGCCAGGGGGGGGATACGCTGCCCCGGCTGTTGAACACAAAGTAGTGACAGCTTGGGCAGCGGCAGGGGGTTGGAATTTCCCGACTTCTCCCCCCTGCCGGGAGCAGAGCCGAGCGGGCGCTGGAGAACAGGCAGCTGCAGGGCAGGCTGAGGCTACTGGCTTTCTTTGTAACCTCGGCCAAGACCCAGCCTCTGGGTGGGTCCACACACGTGGGAGGGTTTTCTCCAGTCCACGTGGTTAAGCCATCTCTCCCAGAGGAGGTCACTCGGTCGATGGAAGAATTCACCCGCCCCCCTCACTGCGTCTGCCCCGGGGGTTTGGTCGACCTGATCACAGCACCCAGGGCACAGGCCTTAGCCTCTCCCCTCTGTGGCATAGGAACAGCTTACCCGCTGGCGGAAGGCCCCAGAGACGGGTAGGGTTAGTTAACTGGCACGGAGTACAATGCTGCCCACTGGCAGCAGCTACAGGCCCCGTCACCGGGCCCGTTGGCTGGTTCCTGTTTAGAAACCTGCATGCCACAGTTCTCCCAAACCAGTCCCGCTGCCCTGAGGCCTTGTGCTGGAGACACTGGACAGCTCTCCCCACGGCAGCGCTTGCTCCGAGAGACAGGCTGCTGCAGGGGGTGAGGAACAAGAGCCGGTGAAGTCCCGTGACAGCTCCTCCCCCGCTGCCCCGGCCAGCGCCCAGATCAGCCTGGCAGGAGAGGCCCCGTGCCCCTTTCTTACCCTGCCTGAGGCTCTGCGTTGCCCTTGCAGGTTGAAAGGCTGCCTGAGGCAGGTGAATGACACTGCCTCCCGCGTGGTGGGCCAGGCGTTCTTCAACGTGATCCAGGTGCCCTGCTTTGAGTTCACCTACAGAGAACAGTGCGTGGAGCCCTATTTGTACATCTGGTAAGTCCTGACCAGGGAGCCTGGGGTGCTCCCACGCCCCTCCCGCTGCACCCCCCTCACTCTGCTTCTCGTCCCACTTCTCTCAAGGTGCAAGAAGTACAACACCGTGGCCATTGCGGTCCCCCGGGCGCCGGTGCTCTATGAGTTTGGTGGGGAACTGATAGACCAAGTGGCAGCCGGCTCAGACAGGGCTCCCTCCAGCCCAGCGCCCCAGCCCAGCACTCCCCCACCTAGAGAGAGCACGGGCAGATGGGCCCCTCCTCCGACAAAGCATCCACCCCCAGGCCAGGTTGTCACACGGGCTATGGACAGCTCCCAGAAGTCTGCGCCCACTGGGCCCAAGCCAGAGAGCCCCACCAAGAACCAGCGGAAGGGGAAAGGGAAGAAGAGAGGGAGGAAAACCATGAAAGGAAAAGGGCTGAAAAAGAAGAAAGTCCATTCCAAAGTTGAGGTGCTGGGGCTCCCCACCCCCACTGCAGATGCTGCCTCCCTCCTCCCTAAGCATCTGGGGCTGGGGGAGCTGGGAAACAAGCTGCTGGACTCTGGGGGGAAGGAGGATGCATTCAACGCCATCCTGAACGATGCCCCCATCCGGGAGGAGACCCTGACTCCACACGGGACAGCGCAGGCTGAAAACAGTGACTGGGGGCAGTGGAAAGCAAGGCCTTTACCTACTCTCCAGCCCACGTTCCCAGCTGCCAGCAGGAGGAAGAGGAGGCGGGAAAGAAATGGAAGGAAGCGCCTGAGAAAGAAAGCGGAGTCTCTGCCCAGGCCTGTCTGAGACTCACTGCAGCCAAGGCTGCCCTTCCCCTCGTCCCCAAGAGAGCAGCTTGCCAGTGTAATAAATTAGCTCAATGCAGCAGATGGTACCATGCTAGTGTTCTATACCTAACCCGTCCAGCCCAGACCCTGCTGCTGGCAGGGTGTCCGTGCAGGGCCGATGAGATGGAGCTCCTGCTGCAGGGAGTCCTCTGTGACTTGGCTGCTGCGTCAGCAGCGCCGTTGAAATGTTTGTCCAGGAAAGAGGTGACAATGCAATTTAGTACATTTGTAAAGCGGGACAAGGAACAGGAAAGACTTGCGTCCCCCAGATCTAATCCAGCACGGAGCCAAAAGAACAAGAGAGCTGGGCTTAGCATAGCCGAATGGGGAGAGCCCTGCCTGCTACAGAGCGGAGGGCATGGGCCAGAAACCCCTGCTCGTGCAGCTGCGGGGCGGCAAAGCCTGCCTGTTCCACCAGCGGAGCAGAGCGGCAGTCACCGTGGTAGCACCCCTCTGGCCATGCAGCGAAAGGCACAGTCCCTGCCCTGAAGGGTCTAGGCCAGATGACAGGCCCTGGAGGGGTAGAAACAGACGGGGGAGAGCACGCGTGTGATCACTGCACTAGTGTGCAGAGCTAGTGGTTGTTCTTGAGCTGTTGCTTTCCTGATCCCACCTCAGCTCCTGTATTTCCCCTGCTGTTGCTCCCCTGCCCCCCAAATGGGTAATTGCACCAGGGGTTCCCAAGAGATACTTTGGCCCTGGTCCTTTTTGCTTTACTGAAGTTTTAGGGCTCATGCTAACTGCCCCCTAGGAAGTAAACCCCCACCCAGCCCCTGCTGGCACAGCATATACCCCCCTTAGCGCCAACACCCCCTGCTTGGGTGCCTTTTAAAGTTAGACTCCCAGAGGTTTGCCGGTTCCAGGGCCTGGAGCATGGTGACGGGGGCTGCTCTTCCTGCACACCCACAAAGAAACAACCCTGGTTGCGTCCCAGTGTTTGGAGGGGAAACAGCAGCACAATGGGACCCTGTGAGAGCAGATGCCAGAGAACTGGGCAGAGCAGAGGGGGAAAATTCTTCAGGCTCCCAGCCCTTGGTCAGCTCGGAGGCCAGCCCAGCACCTGACCCTCCCAGGGCAGCACTTAAAAGAGAAGCAAGTTCTGTGTGTTTCTGTGAACTGGGTGCTTGTTTGGCCTAGGCCAGGCAGACAGCGCCTTGGGCTTTGAGAAAGTATCCTGTTTGGTCCAAGTGTTGGACCATGAGAGGGGCGCAGGTTATTAAAGAACTAGGCTGAATTACTCCTCACCATTAATGCGGTTTCATTTCTCAACACTCAGCTCAGGCACGGAGTTGTTTTCCCTGCAAGCTGGCAGGGCAGGAATGGCAGTGGGAGGATGGGCATGCAGATTTCCTGCACTGAGTTAAGGGCAGGGCATGCGGTTCGCGCGCACAGCTGGTCAGTACCTTGGTTTGGGGCATTCATTAACCAACGGCAGCTTCTTGCTTAGCTGGGATTGGGTTGCTGCTGTAGGAGCTTGGGGGTTTATAACAATAATTCTCTGCCCTGCTCCAGTGATAGCAATGGGAGGTGCTGAGTTTTACACACGAACCCTCTGGCCCGCAGGCAGGTACTAACTCCATTTGACTGAACAGGTCAGTGCCCTGCATAAAGCTACATGCCAAACCAGTGCCTAGTGGCCGGGAACCCAGGCCAGAGCCCAGCCTGTGCTGTACCCACAGGTGGTAGCAGCTGGAGGGTCACTTGTGAACATTAACATCATGCCCACCCACCCTGCAATTCTGTGGTGGCCTCGAGGCAGGGCGCCCGTCTGTCTGGGTGGCCTGCGGCTCTAAGAGTCAAGGTCTCTCACTGTGTGGACTTTGGCTGCTTTGCTGCAGCCACTGGGAGATCAAGGGGGTGGAGGATGTGCCTCAAGGAGCTCCCCAATGGGCTCAAGGTCTTGCAGGCACTAGCCAAGCACTCGGATGAAATGTGTATGAATACCTAAGAAGGCATAAGGCAGAGGTTTGCCCCCAGTTACACAGCTCAGGAAAGCCCTGCTCCCACTCTCATTCTGCATTGAGCGAGAGATGCAAAGATCATGCCAGAAAACAGACCCACCAATGCATGGGAGAAGCCCTGTTTTCAGCGAGCTCCACCCTGGAGCCAGGCAAGCCATTCTAGCCAAGTCTCTCAGGAGACTAAAAAAGCCTTCATTTAAAACCAGCATTTGGCAAGATGATCCTTATCTCAATGTCAGCCATAGGGCCCAGGTACGAGGTGCTGGGGGAGGGCAGTGTGCCTGTCCATGCAGGGAGGCCTCTCAGCGTTACCCAGCCACTCAGAGCATGCAATGCTAAAGCAAAAAGCACAGGAGTGTTTAGTTTCAGACTTTTGGGGAGGTACTGATTTAAACCTGCCACCGCATCCTGCAGGACTCTTCAAATACCGTAAGAGACCAGCCCCTGCTCCGGAGAGGATGGGCCATTCCCCCGCCCTTGGACAAAGGATCATGAGAACCCAGACACATCACAAGCGAGCAGCCTACTTACCATGGGCCCCGCACAGAGCCAAGCGTGCTGCTTGTCACTCAGCCACAGCAGTGCAGCTCAGAGCGAGCCTAACCCTGGGAACGGCCTTTCCAAAGTTTTGCACCCCTACCGAGCGGCCATGGGCGTGCAAGGGGGCAGAGCGCTAGCCAGAGAGAGAGATTTAAAACCACAGTGCAGTGCCTCCGAGCTCAGCCAAGCGTTGCTAGGCAGAGTCTTTCAAGCGATGTCCTGGGTGCAAGCGGGAGCGACGTAGCGTAGAAGGCTGCGGCCTCCTCTGGGGAAGGAGGCAGGGTGTGGGAGGGGATCGCGACTTGCAGGAGGGCCTGGGATACAAGATGGGAAACGCAGGCTCCCATTTCCTACTAGCAGCAGCTCGTACACATCTTCCCAATCTCCCCCGTGGAGATCAGACCAGACCAAACCCACCCCGCCCGAGCAGAGGTTGGTGCAGGAGCGTTATCGTTATCCGGGCTGCAACATGCATACTGCGGAACCGGAACGCCCCAGCCCGAACCAGCGAGAGAGCCCAGCAGAGTAAAGGGAGGAAATGCAGGCTCTCTACAGCAGCGGCTAACACTTCTCATAACCTGCTGCATGTTTTGCCACGGCCTGTAGCTCAGGGACGTGCCCCCTTGAGCGTTTACAGGCCATGCCATCATTAGAGCCACGCAAGTGCTGGTAGAACAGAGACGGGGCAACTACACTTGTGTGACGCAGGAGGGAGCGGGGTTGGCGGCTAGTTCTACGGGGACTGTCTGCATTGGGGAGGGGAGAGCAAGGGATGAGCCTGGAATCTGAGCCAGGAAGGGGGTGGGGCCAGGTGACATCTTTGCCAGGGAAACTGGACAAAGGCTAGAGGAGAGAGCCTGCAGTTTTGTGCTGGGTGGTGGAAAGCAGGGAACCCCAAGGCTGGGGTCTAAGCTCCCTGCCCCCCAGAAGGACTTGACTGAGGGGTCCTGGTTGTACCCACAAGTTCTGTTTTAGACTGTGTTCCTATTGTCCAATAAACCTTCCAGTTTACTGGCTGACGGAGTGTCACGGTGAATCCCAGGAAGAGGGGTGCAGGGCCCTGACTCCCCCACACTCCATGACAACCTGGCATCCCCAGAGCAGGGCAGGAGGTGGCTTACAGAGCGGAGCGCGTTAGTGCAGTAGGCAGGGAGAACGCTGGGTACAATCGACATCCCAAAAGTAGAATTTTATTGATGGAAAGGGAAAAAACTAAAACCAAAGACAGCCAGAAGGAGCGGCCAGACGAAGCGCAATGGCTCTCTGGCAGGTTCCTTCACAGGAAGCTACTCCACAGTCAAGTTCCTGTCATACAGAACTGAACAAAATAAACAAACAGCATAAGGTTAGTATGCTTGTTAATCTACCCCCGAGCAGAGCCCGCCTGCACGGTAAGGAGAGGGATGCAGCCAGGCCAGCACCCTGGGGAGCAAAGGGGATATGCTGTAGGGAAACCAGGTCCTGCACTCCTTGGGAGAACAGCTTCACCTTCTTGTCTCCTGCATCTCTTGCTATTTAAGGGCATTTGCACGCAACAGGACCTTTGTTTCCTAAGCTGTCTGCTCCTTTCCCAGCTGAGGGCAGAGCCCTCTGGGACTTCAAGGAGCGGGCTGTGATGTTAGCAGATCAAGAGCAACAAAAATCCTGCTTCCAGGCAAAATCCTCCTGGAGAAGGCAGGTGGCGAAATACAGGGAAGTGTATTGAACAGAGCCCTCAGCTCTGGCAGGGCTGCTTCTGACCCAGGACAGACAGTACCTGCGTTCCGTCAGCCTCCTGCCTGGCTCCTGCTAGGACAGAGGGGAGGGCAGTGCCAGGGGTGTCGCCCTGATACGCTGGGCTGAGAACCCCACACAACACATTCAACACAAAATTTTCTTCAGCATCAGCCCACCAGGCAACTCGGGCAACACAAGACGAGGGGCATTTCCTGGTTCACTGCTGTACTCTGCTTCTGCAGCAAATCCGTGGTTGAGAGCAGAGGCAGGCAATACAGGATGAGAAGAGAACACCTCCAGACTAGTGTTCAGTAGAAACGCTATTTATTCACCCTTTTCGGTTACATGTGGACAGAGCTAAGCGGGATGACAGAGGACATGCACTTCAGGCTGATTCGCATTCTCCTCACCACAGGAGTGGCTGCACTTGCAGTGCCTTAGGTCCTGCTCACTCTTGGTAAAAGCTGCTGTTACCCAGGGTTTTGCTTTGCAGTCCAAGTTAAAAACCAACTGAATAAATATTGTCCCAAATGAAGCCAGGAGAGGATGAGCCTGTGGTACAGCTGCTTCCCTCTCTGGCAAGAGCCCTAGCCCAGAACTGCTCTGCTAGAACACCCTTGCAAATACAGCTGGGGCAGTTGGTGGAGTTTGGCAGAGCCCACTATACAAGGAGCCACCAAGCAAACAGGAGCAGAAACTTCAGAGGATGTGGGTTGAGTTGTCCGAGCCCCCACGGGATTTCGTTCCGTGGGTCGGAACGGGGACGGGCGACGTTCAGAATACATGACGATCAAAATAAAACTTCGCTCTAGGCCAAGAG